AAGTTTTACAAACATATTGAAACATTTCAATCGAGACACTAAGTTATATAAAAAAAACTAAATTACTTTTCAAATGTATACTTTGATTCTAGAATATTATTGACAATACCAATAAGAAAGAAGTTTCTTCAAAATTAAAACTTATAAAAATACTTGTACTTCTCTCACAAACACTTGTACTTCTCCATCCTCCACAGGTGTGTAGGAGGTAAAAACACTTCTATTGCCACAGATATGTTTGCTAACTCCAGAGTCTATCAACCAATCTTTTGTAGTAGCAACCACGTTAAACTCGGATACGACTGTAATAATAACATCATCCGCGTCAACCAAATTGACAGTCGGCTTGGTAGGTTTGTCGTTCCGCTTTCAGTGTTGGCATTCTTGAGCATAATGTCTTATTTTTTCATAAACAAGACAATTACCTTTCTTCTTAAAACTAGAACCTTGAGCCTTATGAAGATTTTTTCCATTGTGATTCTTTTTCTTATGCTTATATTGAGGCTTATTCGTAGTCTCCACAACATTGGCCTTAGAGACACTTACCTTGGTCTTTTTAATTTTATCCTTCAAATGATTTTTCTCCTCAATCCTAATATGGATAATCACATCTTCCAAGGACATATCCTTTCTTTTATGTTTAAGATTGTTCTTGTAAACTTTCCAAGAATCAGGTAATTTTTCAATCAAAGCACCGGCTACGAATGACTCGGGCAAAATAATTTTATCATTCCTCAACTCATTAATAATCAAATGATACTCATGAATTTTTAGAAGACACATCCTTCTCCTCAACCATCTTATAGTCTAAGAAATTTTCTATTGCATATTTTTTAATCTCCGCTTCTTCGATAATATATCTTTTTTATCAAACTATCCCAAATCTTCCTGGCATGCTTATAATGATAATAAACATAAAATAATTCATTTGATAAAGCATTCAAGATAATATTCCGACAAACCTTATCATCATTTTTTCAATTTTCTTTTTTCTTTTAAAATTTTTTTTGTATCTTCTTCGGGTTTTAAATCAGTCAAAACAAATGTAACACTTGCTATATCAAATAACATCATAATTCTCTGTTGTCAACGCTTAAAATTAGATATATTAAAAGACTCAATTTTTGTCACATCGAGAATGGTCTTATTTATAATTGTAGCATCTATATTACTTCTATTCTTAAGATTGTTGTAAAAAAAAAATTTGAAGTCTAGAATGCTACAAATTGAAATTAAACAAGATAAAAAAACTTATCGATAGAGGCATGTAGTCACTGTCCTTAAGAATAGATTTTCGCCCCTCTGAGTATGTAACCCGGTGCAACAGGTTATGACGTCCTATCCTTCAAGATTCAACTATCATTTCTCCACAAGCGTGCACTCACAAATATAGTGGTGTCACAAATAACTCTTGATCGTTTTTAAATGAATACCAAGATTTCAAGTAGTAGTATATTTAAAAGTATATCAAAATTAGATTCTAGCAATTTGATAAACAACTCAATGAAACTCACTGTGTATGAAAACCCTCTACGTAGGAAAATCCACTAGATAACAAAATGAATGTGTCAAAGTTTTGAGAAAATGATGCTCTTAACAGCTGGCTTCTCTCTATTTTCTTACTTTTCTCACTTTGCTTTGGTTTTTTTTTATCCTTTTCGTACACATGCCATATATATGCCTGAATAGTAGGCTTTAATTAGTGTTAGAAAAGTTGCAGAGGGATGCAATGGTTTGCATCCAACGGTTAATTGTAAAATTCAATAGTTAATAACCAACGATCAAATCCTTTGAAAATTTATTTCCCATGTAATATAATAAATTAATACAATATAAATAATAAAGCAAATGATCATAATGTGTATTGTTCAGGTCATCCAATAAATCTAAAAATAATTTTACATAATTTTTTTTGTAACTTATATTTCTACACACACACACACACATATATAGATGTTAGAAATAAATAAAATAAATATATATTATATTTTGAAATATACATTAAATACAACAGAAAGCATGGCTATTAAAACATTAGGTTTTCACTATCACACTCTTAAATTTGATTTTCTGTGTAATATACCAAAATTAACATGTGATATAAAAGTGGCTTCATGAAAGATGGAATCACCATTTTCAATATCATGCCAACAGGTGGTGTAGTTTCTTAGAATAGTTTGATTAATTGCTGGCCATGTCCTTCTCAGGCAGGATGATGAGGCTTCTGTTGTTTGGGCGAGGAAAAGACAAGTTCACGACCAAATAATTTTACATGTCTCTTAATAAATTCAAGTGGATGGGAGTATACTTTGGATCGAAATTATGGGGAGTACTTGTTGATCATTTTTTTTAACTTGTTTCTTTGTTACTACTATCAAATGCATTTGGTGGAGGTTAGGAATTCTTTTGTTAATTTGATAAAAGTCATGACGTGCAATTAGGAGATAGACAGGTTGTTGTTCCTATTTACTTTAAATCTTAGATTTCAGCTTTGCTCATTTTTGGTACAGAGGCATATATATGCGCCGATAAATTGTTATAGTATTCTATTTTTTTTATTGTATTATTTTGATCCTTGAAGTATTGAATATATTTATACGTGATTCTTCAAGCGGATAACGTTCAGATCACTAACGATTTTTGATTATAAACTTGTCACATGTTACTTAAATATAAACAAAAAATTAATTTGGATATCTTTTAACTAAATTTTTACCCAAATTTTGATCAAAGAGCTACCAAAATTACGTAATTTTTTTTGGTTAAAAGCTGCCAAATTTTGATTAAGAAATACCAAAATTACACATAGATATACGTAGATCTCCCTTGAATTGCGAAAGAGTTAAAGTTTAAATTAATTGTAACAACTTCACTTTAAATGGTAAGACATAGGCACGAAATCCGTATAAAATATATTAGAATCAGATCAAATATAAAAATCCTATTTACCTCCTCTAGAACATATTGAAGTGGAATGATCATGAAATTTTACAAACATTAGCAGCACAATAGTTCTTATGTGTTCAAATCTCTCTCTCTCTCTCTACCAATTTGAATGAACCTTGGAAATAAAAAATTACCTAATTAAAAAATTGGTGATTAACACAACCAGATTTCTCTTTTACAATGGACGATGAGATATGAAAATGTAACAGTAGATTAGATTGTATTTTTTGGAAATATTTATATTGTCAATGTTTTTCTTTTAAATGATTTTTTTTTGGTCGGATCTTTTAAATTGTTTGATAATTGCATATTAACAAAAATGAAAATGAAAATTTTTTATTGTTAGCTTATTTTTATTAGTAATATAGATGTAAAGATAGAAAAGACACATTTTTACTATTTTATCTAACTTCATATTTTAGTCGAGGCCAAGAAGCCCAATTTCAAACACCACCTCTAAAAATGCTATTCTTTTAAATTGTTTGATAAGTGCATATCAAAGATTTTACCATTTTAAAAAATGTTTTATTTCGGTTTGGAGTATTAAATTATGTCATGATTCGTTAACATGACATGAATACGACACAAAATTAGATAGTTTAGATATTCTTTGAAGTTACTTGTTTCAAATTAGGTATAAGTGAAGTTCAATGATACTCTTTATCTTGTGAAAATTTGTCTTTTTGAGGTCAAAGGTTCAAGCTTTTCTTCCCCTTCCCATCTCCAAAAAAAAAAAGGGTTAATTGCAAGTTGCACCCCAAAAAATAGTGAGAATCTCAATTTACACCCCCAAAGATAAAAATTTTTAATTTACTCCCTTAAAGATAAAAATTTGTATCAATGTGCACCCCCAAAAATAAAAATCTCAATTTGCACCCTCAAAGATAGAAATTTGTATCAATGTGCACCAAAAATTAAATTGATAAATTATACCTAGATCCCCTCATGCTTGTCACTTAATCATTTGAACCCTTTCACATTTACAATATTACTCGTATATCTCATGACGTTTGTGCACGTGTAACATGTAATTCCTTTTCATTGATATCTGTTAATATAACTGTTAAAAAATATAATTTTATCCTAATAAAAAATTATAATTTCATATTACCCTTTATTTTGTGGGTTCGATATACTTTAAAGTTCAAAATCAAGTTTGCCATTGAACAATATAATTTTTTATTAGAATAAAATTATATTTTTTAACGGTTATATTAACAGATATCAATGAAATGAGGTTACGTGTTACACGAGTACAAACGTTATGAGATGTAGGAGTAATATTCTAAATGTGAAGGGATCCAAATAATTAAGTGACAAACATAAGGGAATCTAGGTATAATTCATCAATTTAGTTTTAGGTCCACATTGATACAAATTTTTATTTTTGAGGGTGCAAATTGAGATTTTTATCTTTAGGGGTGCACATTTATACAAATTTCTATCTTTGAGGGTGTAAATTAAAATTTTTGATCTTTGAAAGTATAAATTAAAATTTTAACTATCTTTCAAGGTACAACTTGTAATTAACCCAAAAAAAAAAAAGGTATAAGTGAAGTCAATCAAAAAAATAAACGATATAATTCGTTTATATATGATTTAAATATGACACGATTTGTTAGATACAAATTAATAAATAATTAAATATTTTTTAATATAAACTCGTTTCACCTTATATAATTGACGGCCGTGATTTCAGTCAGCCAAAAAAAATTGGTATTGAGAGTAGATGACGCCAATATTATACTGAGCGGTGTCCATTTTTCTGGACTAGTGTGGGCGATGGATGAAGTCCATTTTAATAAAACGCTTAATCGTGCGTGACACGTGACATTGCTTCCTTTCCTTTATAACCGCCTCGATTCCACGCCCGCACATTATTTAGGTTTGCGCTTCCTACCTTCTTCGTCGTATATTGTCCTTTCACGTATGTAAAAAACCTAATTCCTTTTAAGAAATACAGCACTCTTATCTCTCGTTTCCCCTCCACCCTATATATTTATATTTATATTTATCTTCTAGTGATGGTTTTTTGAGCTTGAGTTGATTCAACCATGTCAATTCGATTCAAATTCAGAAGCTCCGTGAACTTTGACTTGATCGACATCGAAGGTCGACCCTCAATCTCAGTCCGTGACCTGAAGTCCAAGATCGTTCGCCAGAAGAACCTCAACATATCTCAAGACTTGGATCTCGTCTTCTCCGATGCCCTCACCGGTCAAGGTCAAAGTCTCTCTCAACATGCAATCGTTTTTTAATTAGCGTATCTTTTTGGATACAGATTATTGTTTATGTGGTACTAAGGTGAATGGTTTTTAATAATTCATCTTGTTTCGTTACTGGCTTTGTGATATGCTTGTTTGTTATTGATTGAATTTAGAGTACGATGACAAGAATTTTCTAATTCCGAGTGGCTCAAGCATAATTATTAAGAGAGTTCCAGCTGGGACGGTGCCTTCAGCTTTGTAAGTTATCTCGCATTTAATATATTATTATTTGTTGGAATAGATTTTTCTTGTATGGAATGTGCCTTTAGCTTTGGAAGTTATCTTGCAATTAACTTAATTGGTAGATTTATTTTTTCAAAAGAAATGCTATAGAAGGAATTACACTGGTAGCATTGTTTTGTGAGTTAGAGAACTCAGAATTTATGAAATAAGGGAAATGTGATGAGATTAAGACCTTTACAATATAAAAAATGCATGATCAGTTGATGCAGTGTATGCATGTAGTTAAATATCATGATCAGTGCAAGGCCATGGGTGTTCCTAGCGGTACGCAACATGATTCTCGGTTCGGAATTTTCCTGCAAGAAGACTACGCTGAAGGATTGTACAATGATAGCATTGCTTTATGAATTTGAGAGCTAAGAATTCTTGAAAGAATGGAAGTACAATGGGATTGATAATAAACCCCAAAAAATGTCACGGACGCAGAAAAAAAGTGAAGAATTTGACTGCATGAATAGCTGATGTGATTTCTAAATATGGTTGATAAAGCACGACCAACATGCGTGCATGGGTACGTAGTGTGATTCCATTACTCTCGGAATAGATATCTTAAAGAATAATTGCCATATTTACACGCATGTGGATAAAAATCACAGGCTGTGGCATTTGTCCAGTGTGTTAGTTATGTCTCTTCCGGATTATTGTAAAGGAATCTAGGTTTAGGAATCTATAATAAATCCTTGGATTTTTCATTAGACCCATCATAGTCATGGACTTATGAGGACTGTATGAGTTCTGAAGTTATAAGAGTTTAGAGGATATTGGAATGAGCAGTTTCAAAATTTGATCCCCATGACTTGGCTTTGATTGTCGTTTGTCTCTTCTACCCTTCTTGTTTTGGATAGGGAAAGCGGACATATCACTTTCATTAATTAGTGTAGGTGGGTTTTAATCAAACCGTATGATATGTCCACTCTCTCTCTCTCTCTCTCTCTCTCTCTCTGAGTGTGTGTGTGTGTCTGCGTCTGCGTGTGATATGGACGTTGTTCTAGATTGCCCTATATCAGGGTTTAATTCCATAACTTCTTGAAAGAATAACTGCCATATTTACACGCGTGTGCACAAAAAACCGTAGGCTGTGTCATTTGTCCTATGTGCTAGTTATTTTTCGTCTGGATTATTTTAAACTAACGTTCGAAATGTTCCGTTTTTTAAGAAAACCCAAACGAATCAGTGATGTAATCGAAATTTTAATATTACGAGGTATTCCATAATGTTTCGAGATGTATTATAATATTTTAATGCATTTGTACAATTATTTCAAAATATTTTAAGGTATTTCAAGATATTTTGATATATTTCAATCAATGTTTTAGAAAAATAATTCTTAAATTTTTTATTTTTTTCATTATACTTCTGAAATATGTTGAAATATTTTCGAAACATGTTGAAATGCTTCCGTTTTCTAGGTGACCGAAACAATCCACTGAAACGAAATTTTGATCCTAGTTTAGACCTTGTTTAGACCTATGATAGTCATGGACTTATGAGGACTTCATGAGTTCCTTAGGTTATAAGAGGTAGGACGATATCAGAATGAGCGGTTACAAAATATGATCCACGTGAGTTGGCATTGATTCTTGTCTCTCTCTTCTATCCTTCTTGTTTTGGATAGGGATAGCAGACGACCTAATCTTTCTCTCTCTCTTTGTGTTTGTGCATCTGATATGCATTTTAGTCTAGATATAACCCTATATGGGGGCTTAAATCCATAAATTTTGGAATAGATATCTTGAAGAATAACTGCCATACTTACGTGTGCATAAGAATCACAGGTGGTGGCATTTGTCCAGTGTGCTAGTTATTTCTTGTCTGCATTATTTTAAAGTAATCTAGGTTTAGGGATCTATCATAAAAGGGAAACATGGCTAATTGGAAAAATATTGACAACCAAATAGTAGTTGTTGCCTAAAGAGCAAGGTTTTTGACTTTGAGGCTTGAGAGACCTTGGAAGGAGGGAGAGATTCCCCAACACATGCGGCTAGGGCTTGATGAGAAAAATGTAAAAAATTTTACTATTCAATTTGAGCTATTTTCGAAAGACTCTTAGACCCATGATAGAGTACTACAACAACTATGATAATAATGGTAGTAGTTCTAAGATGATGATAATAATAATAGTTTCGTAATTTAAATGCCTTAAACAACAAAATGGCTCAAAAAAGGGGTGTTTGGTACTTGCTTGATGATCTAAAGCACAATGGAACCAAAGCTCAAAAATTGTGAACACCTTAAAATAAAATTCCTAACTAATTTGTAGGATATGTATCTAAGTTGCTTTGAATTTGTGTTATCGGGAGTACCAAGAGGCGGGCTTAAGTTGGTTGATCCCTGCAACATGTATTTCTTTGTTTAATGAGCGTGTTAAAAGGGTTTGGGGATTTGACAAAGGGGTTACTCTTTGGAATTGTGCTATCATTGCTACTATGTGGGTTTTTTGGAAGGAGTGAATTATAAGAATTTTTGAAGTCGGAATGAGAGTGTGGAAGGATTGTTGGAGCATATTCATTTTTTGGCATCGTTTTGGACTTCGATTACAAAGGATTACAAAGGCTTTTAAATGAAATCTGATTTTTGCTATAGTAGTGGGATGGAGAGCATCATGTGATTTATAGGCTTCTTAAAGTTTGTTGCTTTTCAATTTGTGTTCCCTTGATTATGATTGGATTTTTTATCCAATCTTTCTTGATGTACTACCTTTTTCTATTTTAATACAAGAGTTTATGTTTTCTATCAAAAATATATATATATATATATACATATATCTATGGTGCTAACTGAGCCAAGCTGGGGCATACATAGGGTTGGCTCATCTTGACAGAACGTTCTAGATCTTGGCTTGTCTGGAATTCAAATGAACCTGAAAAACACCGTTTACTTGACCGAGCCTTGTTTGGTATGTAAATGGACCTGAACAAACGTTTTTCTTTAGCCGAGTCTAACTAGCCATAAACAATTTCTCATTTGCAGATGGAGTATCCGAGTATGCCTACATTTATATAGTTACTCTGTAGAATGGGTAGTATTCCCAGAAGGTATTATGAAGTTTTTAGTTCATACATGAAGAAGAGAATCTGCTATTATTATATTTGGTTATTGGATAATGAGTTATAGTTGATTGACAATTAATACTGATTGAATTCTTTGAGATTGTATTTTCAGTTTCCTTCTATATCTTGTTTTGTATTTTATTTGCAGTTTAAACTTTAAACCTTAAAACTTCCTAAGGAACTATTTGATTGCAAATGATTATCTGTTACAATTGTTATCATGGCTTCTGCCACTAGGAGGCGTTGTATCTGGGGCATGAGGTGGTCTTTATTGTTGACTAGCTTTCTACTTTATCAATTTTTCTTTTCTCTCATGTGGTGTGACTTTGTGCAGAGCTCCCATTGATACAGTTGAGAATTTTGGGATGAACGACTCCAATCTTTTTAACCCAATGGTAGGTCCAAGATCTCTCCTCTCTCTCTCTCTCTCTCACACACACACACACACACACACACACAAGTGGAGTGCCATTGAAAATTTTGGTATGACACCACTGGTAGCAGAAGCCCTCAGCATTTGTGAATCACTGTATCCCATGACCTTGTTTGTTTTTGGTTGGAGCACTGATTTTCTTATTCTTTTTTTTTTGTTGTCTTCTTTTAAGAAGCACCATAGGTAATGTCCCAAAAGTTGTTTCAATGTCTTTGGAGTCTGGACTTTTAGGGGAAATTTTTACTGCAGAGCTAATTACAGCCACTTGGACTGACCTTTCTAGTGCTGTCCCCTTTAGAAATCCATACTTTTCTATTTAATCAGAGGAGAGCCCCTGAAGTGACTAGATGGGGTTATTGTTTAACATTTATCAAATTACGCACTATCTTGTAAACTGAAAAATATCTGCTTCTTTGGTTGACATCTGTTTGTAATTACTTGCATCCTCCATTTTCAGAGTGGACAAATGGACGATTTTGAGGACTTGGGGTTGATTTGTGTCCTGTTCCTGAGGCAGCCTTACCTGATTCTGATTTGGAGTTTGATAGGATCTGCATGAGCAATGAGATGGCAAAAATTGCAGTAGCAAGGTACAACTGCACTTACCTTATATCTCTGGGTTCAGATTTGGCTTGCATTTATAACACATGGCATAACCAACTTACCTGCTATATGTATATTTGTGTATGGAAATACATGTTTCTATTTGTACATACTAGCGGAAGACACTCTGCAACACAACAAGTTGAACATTAATCGTGCATTATTTATATTTTAAATAGCAAATTATTTTCATTTTCTTTTCTTTAATTACGTAATTTAAAATTAAAATGAATAGAGGGAAAATAAGAGGTAGGATGAGAGAGATAGGTGTAAATTAGTGGGGTTGTTTGACTTTCGGGAGTGTATTGGTTGAGTTATCTGATATTAAGAGCAGTGTAAAGATGTTTTTGAGTGGAAAAAATTTAGGGATGAATTTTGTACAATTAGATCAAAGGAGATGAAAATTGGATCAATCTTGACTGTTATTAAGCTTTTTTGAGCTGAAAACTCAACTTCTTAGTGGTAATATTAGATTAGATATTTATAGATACTAGCAATACATGACGTGCATTGCACATGAGTAAATAATTTAGGGATTGATACAATGAGGATCGAACTGACAAAACATGAATACTCTATGGACTAAAATTAACATTAATCCTAAAATTTAATATACTACTCTATAATATATTTTTTAAAAGAATATTAAAATTCTAAAATTTAAGTTTTACTTAAAAGATACTATAATCTATTTTTATATTTTTTTTACTTGAATTTTTGTATAAACTCTTAATAAATATGAAAAGTATACTGTTATTGAAGATTTATGTTGATTTAACATAAATTATTTTAAAAAAAGTGCGTGAAAGGTTATTTTTATCTTAAAAATGAAATTGTTAAAATTTTGGATGAAAAATAGTTGCATTTGTAAGTATAAGGTTATCTTTTATATTTGAAATGAGTAACGTTAGATTGATGAAATTTTTTTAATATTTTTTGAACTTTTTATTGAAATCTATAACGATGTATATATTTTTTAATGATAATATAACTAATTAAAAAGATTCATAGATACTTATATTTATACATAGGGAATAGAGAATTAAAAGTGATGTTAGGGATAATTTAGAGATTTAAACATGTAAGGATATAGTGGTAATTTAGATATTTAATTGTAGAAGGATACTTAGTATTTAAAATTTTTTGTAAAGGTAAAATAGTGAATCAAAAGTTTTTTATGTTAAGGTACTTTTATTAGTAGTATATAGATAAGTGATATGACATTTTAACGAGCCCATTGCTGCATGATCAAAGCATCGCATATTGAAAAGCTTCAGATTTGTTGTTGCAGTCCACCGGCAGTTAGAAAAACCAACTGGTTTGTACTAGTCCCACTGGTGAGCTATACAAGTTAACATGTAAATGCATCCTGAAAATCCTTGGATTTGTATCTAAGTACTAGTGAATCTATGTTTCTATGGCCAAACTGGAATTGTTTTTCAAGGCTTGGTTTAGGTGGGTATTTTGTGCAAATTTAGAAGAATGTTTCATCAGCATATGTTTCACTTCTGCTGCACAAGTGTGATTATTTATAAATATTGGATGTTTCCACGCAGACATAGTGAAATAAAACTACTTATCAAAGCAAATTGAACATAAAAGGAATGGGCAAGCCACCTTTGACTATA